TTACTCCCGAGGGCTTCAGAGCTTACTATGCAATCCGCTTCTCCTTCAAGGTCTCCAACAACGAGGCCGAATATGAGGCCCTCCTATGTGGCCTTCGGCTGGCTGCCAACATGAGGGCTCGGCAGATCCACATCAAATGCGACTCCAAGTTGGTCGTTGGCCAAATCTCCGAAGAATATGAGGCCAAGGAGGGAAGAATGAAACAATACAAGGAAGCGGCCAAGTAGTTGCTCAAGGTATTTGAGGCACACTCTCTCACTCAAATACCGAGGGCTCAGAACTCCGAGGCCGACATATTATCTAAGCTCTCGACCGACTCCCCCGAGCACATCTCCAAAATTGCCAAAATCGAGGAACTCAGCCTCTCAAGCATCCATGCAAGCCCCGTTATGAACATACAACAACGTCAAGAGGATTGGATCTCAGATATCACCACCTTCATCTCCACAGGACAGCTACCCGAGAATGAGGCCCGCGCTAAACTGGCAAAGCTGAGGGCTCCTAGCTACACCATCGAAGATGGAAGGCTCTACAAACGATCTTACAATGGCACGCTACTTCGGTGCCTTCATCCAGATGAAGCCGAGGTCGCAATGGAGGAAGTGCACAGTGGCACTTGCTCAGCTCACCAGGGACCCTTCTCCATGTCCCGGAGGCTCATTCTCCAGGGCTACTTCTGGCCAATCATGGCCAGGGATTGTGCTGACCTTGCCCGGAGGTGCACCGCATGTCAACACTTCCAGAAAGCCCCCGGCAGGCCAGCGGTCAACTATGCCCCCATCAGCACCTCTGTCCCCTTTTCTCGATGGGGGATAGACCTTGTGGGCCCTCTGCCGAGGGGTACCTCCAACAACAGATACATCATTGTGATCGTCGACTACTTTACCAAGTGGGTGGAGGCTGAACCCCTCGCCAGCATCACAGAGGCGAAGTGCCGTCACTTCGTCCTCAAGAACATTCTCACAAGGTTTGGCGTCCCCCAGCAGATCATCTCCGACAATGGGACACAATTTGAGGCAGCCCCCTTCTGTGCCCTCCTGGAGGCATGGGGCATCAAACACACCTTCTCCTCCGTGGCCTACCCTCAAGGCAACGGGCAAGTAGAGAATGCCAACCGGACCTTGCTCGAGGGCCTCAAAAAGAAGCTGGAGGCCGAGGGCGGTGGCTGGGTGGAAGAACTCCACAACATCCTTTGGGCCTACCGCACCACCCCTCGGCGAGCAACAGGTGAAACACCCTTCTCCCTTTGCTACGGTTTTGAAGCCAAAGCTCCTACGGAAGTCACCCTTCCCACCAGAAGGGTGATCCAGTATGACCCCGAGGTCAACGACAGCAACATGGCCCTCGACCTCCACCTCATTTCAGAACGCCGGGAGCAGGCCTTCATCCGGGCAGAAAACTACCGAAGGCAAGTCAAAAGCTACATCAACGCCAAAGTTCGCACCAGAGAATTCCAAGTGGGGGACTATGTCCTCCGGAGGAGGGAAGCCAGCCAACCAACCGAGGGAGGAAAAATGGCACCAAAATTCGAAGGCCCCTACATCATAGCAGCCATCATCAAACCTGGGACTTACAAGCTCAAACGCCCCAACGGGAAAGAGGTCCCTAGGCACTGGAATGTACACCATTTAGTTAAATTTTACCAATAATGTAAGAGCGGCCAAGCCCTCATAACTAGTGAATGTACTATCCTATGGCCCAAGGCCTCCAATTTCGAAGAATGAAGATACATTCAAGACATCGAGCCCTCATACTGACTACAGGCCCCCGGCCTCACCACGAGAAGAACCCCCTCTGGCACCAAGTGCCGAGGGCGGACACCATCAACACCTACAACAACAGTGAAAACACCGCGTGTTTTCAGTCAAGACCCCTCGGTACCAAGTGCCGAGGGAAGGAACTCCTATCAACAACAACAGGGAACTCCATGTGTTTCATTTCCCTTCGGCACCCAGTGCCGAGGGTACATCCCCACCTTCAAAATTAAAAAAGTAGTTGATGAGAACACCAAGTGTTCCTACAGAAGACCCTTCGGCACCAAGTGCCGAGGGTACAGCTCCATCATCAAACATCGAAACGAAGAAAAAACACCAAATGTTTCAAAGAAGACCCCTCAGCACCCAGTGCCAGGGATATGCTCTCCTATCAACTTCCAAACATCCACGGGGAAACACCAAGCGTTTCATTTGAAGACCCTTCGGTACCAGGTACCGAGGGTAGACACCTCCATCAACTGCAACAAAAAAGAACACCAAGTGCTCCTACAGAAGAACCCTCGGTACCAAGTACCGGGGGCTACACATCGAAACTAATACCAAGTGTTGTTTCTAAAAGCCGTACCCCACGAGGACGCATATACCGAAGGTGCCACCATCGGTGCCGGCGGCACGTAGTGCCCCCGGCCATTTGCAACTAGTGTGCAAATGAAAACCCTTCCTTGAAACGCTTTCCGCGTCACTACCCCCAGGGTATGACAGGCATGAGAAATGCCCAGGATTCGACTTTCAAAAACGGAACGCTATCCGCGTCACTACCCCCAGGGTATGACAGGCATGAGAAATGCCCAGGATTCGACTTCCAAACCGAAACGCTCCCCGCGCCACCACCCCAAGGATGTGGCAGGCCACGGACTATGTCTAGCGCCGAGGGGACGACTTTCAAAAATGAGGCGCTTTCCGCGCCATCCCCCAAGGGGAGGCAGGTTACGGATCACCATATCTTGTGCCCAGGAAACGACCCTTGATCCCCTCGGAACTCGGAAGGTTAACCCGAGGGAGGAGAGCCATTGGTGTATTCTGATGGTCTCATAATAGGCCCAGCCTTACCAAGAAACCAAGTTTCTTGATGCCTTCCCTTCACCACCAACCAAAAAAAGAAGAAGAAGGGGTGAAGGGGAGTAGACTCAGCGAGAAATCAAAGAGTACACTCCAACAAGATCACAACATGCCGAGGGCTCCCCACAGGAACACCTCCGGTAATTGAAGGGTCAAAATCTACAACTTTTAAAGTGTATACCGAGGGCACACACTCATCATTGGCTTTCTTCACAACAACAGGATTCCACACATATTTGGCCCTCGGCCAGAGACTCACACAACACAAGGGATCTACATCCGGAAGCTCAACATCAATTTACACTTAGAAAATATTCTAAGTCCTAAATGAGTAGCCCCCGGGCATCTCGCAAAGTAATGCAGAGTCAGAGGGCACCTATCACCCGAAGGCTACACAAGGAAGCAGCACTTGAAAAAATTCTAAGTCCTAAAGATTGGCCCCCCGGCCCAATCAATATTACGGCCAAGGGAATATGGTAGCCGAAGGCCATGCAATACAACAACACTTAAAAAAAACATTCTGTCCTAAATGAGCAGCCCCCGGGCATCTCGCAAAGTGATGTGGAGTCAGAGGATGCCATCTCCCGAAGGCTCCCAAGGGAAAATCTACACTTAGAATATCTTCTAAGTCCTACATGTTTTTCCCCCGGTCAACTACTCATACATCAAGAAAGGATGCCATCTCCCGAAGGCTCCCAAGGGAAAATCTACACTTAGAATATTTTCTAAGTCCTACATGTTTTCCCCCCGGTCAACTACTCATACATCAAGAAGGGATGCCATCTTCCGAAGGCTCCCAAGGGAAAAACTGCACTTAGAAATCTTTCTAAGTCCTACATATTTCACCCTCATCTCAAGGGGCCTAATAGCCAAAGGCTACCTATCAATCGAAGGCTACAGTACACAAGGAATCAACACTCAAGAAAATTTTTCTAAGTCCTAAAGAATTGGCCCCCGGCCTATTCAATATTTCAGTTGGGGCTCCACAGTAGCCGAAGGCTACGTGACATACTACACTTGCAAAAAAATTCTAAGTCCCGTACATTGGGCCCTCTGTCCAATATTCACACATCAGGAAGGGATGCCAACTCCCGAAGGCTCCCAAGGGAAAATCTACACTTAGAAATTTTTCTAAGTCCTAGGAATTGGGTTACTACAAACACCCGAAGGCCCTATGGTGTGCTACACTTAGAAAAATTTTCTAAGTCCTAATTGCTGCTGAACCCTCGGTTGCATATCCAGCAGAGGGTGCCCAACTACCGAAGGCTTCCAAGGGCAAGCTACAATCAGAAAATATTCTAAGTCCTAGACATACATTCAAAAATACCGAAGGCATACATTCAAGGAAAACGGAGGCATACATTCAAGAAGAAAGGAATTGGAGAAAACAAGTCATATATACAGAGCCCGAAGGCAATCATTCATTCATCACAGCAAGGAGTAAATGTAGTTATTACAGTGTTGGCCGAGGCCGAAAACATGTTAATGTGGCTATTACAAAAGTGTTCTAAATACATATCAAATAATGTCATTCCCGGGGGCTGCCTCCCCCGATGGCTTCCAGGTGACTTCTACATCGGCCTCAGGATCGTCGCCCTCGGCTTCCCTCCGGAGCTCAGAATCCTCCAGGTCTGGCCTCTCGACATCAGGGGGGAGAGGAACACGGATGTCTGGCTGCAGGGGGGAGCCCGTACACCGCCGGATCAAAGTCCTTCGGCTCAATCTTCAGATGGCGGGCCATCCTCCGGTAGATGAGGGCTTGAGTGAAGAACTCCCCCCATCATAATACTGCTTACCCTTTCGGGCCATCCATTCCTCGCCCGGGCCCTCGCACCACTCTTCAACCGAGGCCTCCACAACCGAGGACAGCCATGCCTTGTGCCCCTCGGTCTTCCACCCCCCGTCCAGGAACCCGGAGATGGCCTCCTCCCGGGCTGTGGCGACAGCCTTCGCCTTGATGGCCTCGGCCTCCTCGGCTGCTCTCCTTGTGGCCTCCGCAGCGGCCGCCTCAGCTTCTGCCTTCTCCTCCCTAAGCCTCTCGGCCTCCGCCCTCGCAAGCTGGAGGTCCTCTTCAAGCTGGGCCATCAGCTTCGTGGCCTGGTAGTCCCTAAGGATCAGCTCCTTCAACTTGGCGTCTTGCCCGGCTTTGTGGAGGCGCCATTCCTCCAGCCGTCGGAACTGCTCTCCGAGGGCAACACAAGTCTGCAAAAATAAACGATTTGTCAGGGCCGAACGCAGTTTCCTGGTTCAAAGTGGGAAAGAGAAAGGCAACTATCGTAAACTTACCGTGAGGGAAGACCGGAGGATCCTGTCTTCGAGGGCTTGATCATCATCGGCCCCGAGAGCTGCCCTGTCGATATCGAGGGTTATACCTCTCAGGAGCGCCCTCGGGTCAGCCGTGCCATTCAACACGGCCGTGCCAGCCGGAAGGGAGAGCGTGAGGACCTCGAGAGATGGCTCCCGGGCACCCCTCGGCACCTGCGCCATCGGCATCTCCGGAGGGTCATCTACAATCACCACCGGGGGGTCATCCTTCGCGGCGTCCCCCTTCTTCAACTTTTTGGGGGCCTGGGGGGCTCCTTTGCCGACGGCTTCCTCTTCGCCGCAGCAGCATCGCCCTCGGGCTTCTTGGAAGGCGCACCGACGGGCTTTTGGCCGACAGCGTCCGGCCCCTTCGGGTCCTTAGCCGGCTTGTTCTTGAGTCGGGCGAGGCCTTTGACGTTCATCATGCTTACTGGGATACCTGCAAAAAAAATGAGGGGTTAGGATCGAGGGGTCACTACTAAGTGGCATGAAGAATTAACGAAGCAAATGAACAAACGTGCTAAGATATGAGGGTGAGAATGCCCTCAGCTACTACCTCCGGAGGCTCCCTCAAACACTGGGAACTTCTCATCAGTTTCCCCCAGGAACCGGTATCGCCGGAACCTGAGGGTGTAGAAATCTGCTTCTTTGGTACACTCCTTGATGGAGATATTCTTGTCCCGACCCTCCGGGATCATGGCCAGAATCCTGCCATCTTTCTCGAGGGCGGCGCTCCTCCTCTTCTCGTGCCTCCTGAAGCGGTCACGCAGCTCCCTCGGGAAGGGGCTCTCGGCTAGCTTCACATAGCACCACTGGTCCTTCCACCCCTTGTTCGAGGAGGGCGCTTCAGTGAAGAGTTTGAACACAGACACCTGCTGCAAATTGGCGAATCCCTCGGCATTCGCGTGCCCCCCCGACACAGGTTGAAGCTCTGGAAGAAGAGGTCCAGGCTAGGCGTCACCCCCCGGGACTTGCAAAGCTGAAGGAAGCCAGTGATATAAGAATGGCTGTTCGGGGTCAGCTGGCAGGGAACCAGACCCACGAACCGAAGATACTCCCGGAGGAAGGGGTGCAGGGGGAAGCGGAGCCCCATGGATACTGAGAGAACGTGCACCGCAATGCAGCCCTCGGGAGCCCGGGAGAGGACGTCATCCGGACCCGGTGTCACCACGATGGCCGAGGGGCCCACGTGAAGCTGGGTGACATAGATGTCCGCCGCATCAACCTTCGACTTGATCTCCAATGCGGCGGTGTTGAGATAGGAGTACCCCTCGGGCAGATCGAGGGGCTTCCCTTGATCTGCTACGCTGCCCTTCTTCTTGGGAGCAGCGCCCTTGGCCTTCTTCTTTCCGGGGGCCACCCGGATGGGGACCGCATTCAGCGACCGAGAGGTGCTGGCCTCCCCGGCACCCTGAGGGGGGAGCACAGCAACGGTGACCCTCTCGCTTTCTCTTTGTGCCTCATCTTCAGCTGCTTGCCAGGCGAGGGCCAACTCTTCGTCCTCACATTCTTGCTCGAAGCCCTCGGCTTCCGCCTCAGCTACGAGGGCTTTCTGCAACTCCAGGGCAACGACGGCATCCTGTCCCACCGAAGACTCTGCACTTGAGGACTCCACGTCCGAGAGGACTTCATCCTCCACCGAGGGCGCCCCCGAGATATCTTGAGAATCAATCTGGGACCACATTCTGACTCTAGTTCGAAGGCTCGTAGACGCTAGTGTTTTCTAAATTTTCTATCTCCTAACCTAAGTGCACAGTACAGGTAGCTAAGAGGTGAAGGGAAAGCGAGCACTGACCTTGAAAGCAGAAGTTTTGACCGAAGGCCTGAGTTTCTCTCACTAGAATTTTGGGTAGAGCTTCGCTAAGACAGATGATCGCACAAGGGGAAATGGCTCTGGCCTTGGGGTATTTATAGGCGCTGGAATCCGGGCTTGGGCCCGGAAACCGGGCCTCCGGACGGACCGTCATCATTACACACCGTCGTTTCACCCAACCGGTGACGCCCGCCCACGAGCAGCCAACGGCTACACTCCACGTGTCCCCCCCCCCCCCAACGGCTATATCCTGACGTTACATATTCCAACGGCTATATTTCCAACGGCTATATTCTGGAAGCCCCCGGGTTTTCTACTCCACTCCGCTACATCAAAGAGAGCCTCCGGGTACACTTACCCAGAGACGCCCCCGGGTTGTGCCCCACACAGCACATAGCAGATGCCTTCGGGATCACTCCTTCAGAACCCAAGGCTTCATATCAGGGCACCCCTCGGGGATTCCACCTCAGCACCGCAAAACTGGGTAGCCCCCCGGGAGTTGCCTCATTGACGGATGACCCATGGCACGCAGGTAATGGGAGCCCTCGGGTATCTTCATCACCAACTAATCAACAAACAGTGGACCCCCCGGTAACAACTCCACTGCTGCCCTCATCCAGCAGGCCCTCGATCCCCGGATTGAGGGGCTCCCCTTTGGCGCCCCCAGGACATCAACAGCAAGCCTTCGGCTATTCAACACATGAGCCCTCAGAACAAGGAAGAGCCTTCGGCATTACCATTGTTCTCCATTCTTGACCAAGGTTTTACATTTTCGATTCATCATTGGGGGAATTCGGTGCACTCTTTTTCCCTCATTAGGATTTTTCCCCCCAGGGTTTTTCCTAATGAGGTTTTTAACGAGGCATCCCCCCAAAATGAAACGAAAAGCGTCAGCCTTCAGCCCACAACAGCAACGCAACTACTCTACTCCTTTTCACCACTTTACAAGTGCCTCAAGGAGTGGGGGACTGGAGGACCCCCTCGGGAAAATCATTAAATTACAAAATTAGTGAAATTTTGTACAAACGACAAAGCAAGCCCAAAAGGGCAACTGAGGGACTGCCTTCGGCAGGGACATAAAAGCAACAACTCCTCACCAACTTCAGAGATCACGACAGGACAACATCAAAGGGCAAGCACAAATTACTCCTTTTCCCTCAAGTACCTTTCGGCAAAAGGAGTGAGGGACTCCTGATGGAGTATATGGCCCGGGAACACCCGGCCCACAGACTCCTACTACACCAATGAAGGCCCAACAGGCCCAGGAGGCCCAAATCACAGCGCCCAGAGTACCAAGCAGCCCACACTACGCACCAGGGGTGCCTTCGGCCCCCTGGCCGAAGGCTCTAAACTCTCACAGAACGGGTTTCTCAAGCAAATTAAGAAACTGGGAGAAAACGGCGAAAATAGTAGCCCTCGGCACTATGAGCCCTCGGCACCAGGGTGCCGTCGGTTGGAGGAGCCCTCGGCTACTGCTCTATAGCCGAAGGCATCTCACTCGACAAGATATCCGCCTCACATGCGTGCAGATCACCGTACCCTGCACAGACGTCCCATCCAACAGCCGCATTAAATGCGGCCACATGCGGCTGCCAGCGCCAACCAGTTGAGGTGACCCCTCAGCCAATGAGCGCTTGACACGCGTCCCTGCCCGGCATTTATTGCTACTATAAATAGCACCCCATTTCCCCATTTGTAACCACGACATTCATACTAAATACACTCTCTCTTTACATTTACTTGCTTACTCTGACTTCTCTCTAAGTTATTCCCCGCAATAACCCTTCGGATATATACCCCCGGGTAGACTATCCATCATAAATGTATCTTACAATTTGGAACTGAGGGAGTAGTAATTAATTTGTTTATAGATTATAATTATCGTCTGCCGTGTACATATGCAATTCGTTTGAAAAGAAGCGAGATTTTCTGCGAAAATGTGTGTGTACACAACGAACGTACAATTTCTATACACATTTTGTGCACACCAATAATTACTCAAGTAATGATAGGGACTAAATGACTAATATAGTTGAAACATCGAATTTACTACCTTAGATCCTTAATGACTGAAAATTCAAATTTAGGGGGTTTTGGTCCTTTGTGTATTAAAACTTTACATGTAAACTGATAGCGTATAAAATTGTAGGAATATAATGTAATCATTTTGTAAGTAAAATTAAGACACATTGTTTTGGGAGCGATAGAGTATATGGGCCTAAACCCTCGGCCCACATAGTGTTGGACATATGAACGACCCAAATTCCACACCTGAGTCAAAAGGCCCAGCTAGAGAACCAACCCATAATGAAGAGGCGGACTTTATGTCTGTGCCATCATCTCGACACACCCACCTCGGAGTAACACACTTCGACCTCAAGCCGCTAGGACTCGCCTGGGGATCTAACCATCAAGATCGAGGAGCACCCACCCATCCATCCTAATCTATTAATAGGAGCATGATTTTGCTGAAATCAACCACAAAAGTCTAGTCTTCAATCGGATTCCTAAGATTGCATGTATGAAAAGAGCATCCCTATTTTGTACTAACGCTACTTTCTGAAATAACTCACCCAACACTTTGCGAGTAGTTTATAACTTTATATGTATATATACTATCGCATGTAATATTATGTATATATATTAAAATAATAAATCACATAATCATTGAAATCCTCACGCATAAGAACATCATATGGTCATCTCTTGTTGGAATTAATATAAAATTACTATGTACAATTATTTTTTGTCACATTTTTTGTGTACTACGTGGCTTTTGTATTTAGAAGGAAAGATGTAGATCTTATTTCCTTTCCTTTTTCTCCTCCAAGAAGCTCGCTGTCATCATGTAACGTACGCACGTATATGTAATGTAACATGTATATATGTTGACCGCATGATTCATTCTTATCATGCGAATGAATACACAAATTTCCTTCCTTGTTCGGTGCTAACTTACATGGTATCAGAGCAGTAAAGTGTTCTGGGAAATATTACGTGACTTAACGGAAACGACGACGACGCAACGATGGCCGGTGAACTAGTTGTACGCCGGAAAATCAACGACCCTACTTCGCCCTACTATCTGTCGAACTCAGACTATCCCGGGCAGAATATTTGTGGGATAGTGTTGAAAGGCGAGAGCAATTATAGAGAATGGGCAACGTCTATGAAAAATGCTTTTTGTGCGAAACGAAAATTGGCGTTTCTCGACGGAACTCTGAAGCGACCCGAGAACGATGAAAAGGACCTTGAAGATTGGCTGACAGTCCATTCCATGGTCGTGGGATGGATCATGAAAACGGTAGACCAGCAGCCTTTGCAAACTAATTTAGTTTATATGGAAAGTGCTTGTGATCTATGGAACGATTTGGAGCAGCGGTTTGCCGTAGGAGATGCGATGTGAACACATGAGTTGAAGGAGCTGATCCGGAATTGCCGCCAGAATGGACAAATGGACAATCCATCACCACTTATTTTGGGCGATTGAAAGCCTACTGGGACGACTATGATGAATTCCGAAATATTCCCCAATGTGCGTGCGGTGCTTGTACGTGCAATCTCAAAAAATTGTTTCTCAAGCACGTGAAGACGGAAAAGATTAAGTGGTTATATAATGTAATTTGACAGTTTCGCAACATACTATCGTATTACATATACATCAATGACGACTACAAATAATTTAAATCACATATTTTGTGGTTATGTAGTACTATTAATATTTTATTTGCTTGTCCTGATTGCTATTCGTGTCTCAGTCTAGATCTATTTTAATATTGAATATTTGTCATATTCAAATTTGTTTTATTTTTATGATTCTGTAAAAATATTATTTCATTTTTCAAATATTTAAGGGGAATTTACATTTAATATTTAACAGAAAATATTCATGATTTTTTGATGGGCCTTGATCACGAGGTTTACGGGAATTTACGTTCAAATATACTTAATTTGGACGAACTTTCCTCACTAACCAAGGTGTATCACATGGTGATACAAGAAGAAAGGCATCAGAATTTGACAAAGGGAACGGAAGAAAAAACCGAAGCAGCACCTTTTGCTACACGAACCGGACCTGTTGGTGGGCCAAGGGAAGAATGGCCAAAATGTTCCTTTTGTCACAAAACAGGGCATGATGTGGAAAACTGCTTCCGCCGCACTGGGAATTACCCAGATTGGTGGTATGAGAACCCGGGAAGAGGACGTGGTGGATGAAGTCGTGGAGGACCTGGTCGTGGAGGACATGGGCATGGAGGACCTGGTCGTGGAGGACATGGGCGTGGAACAGTGCATGCTATGCACGTGGGTGAGTACCGAGACGATGGCACTGCCATGCACGAAACAAAGGATACGACCATGCACAAACCAGAATTTACCGATGAACAATGACAGTCACTTTTAAAATTAATGGAAAAGTGTAAGACCACTTCCTCGGAGGAGAAACTCACAGGTATGAAAATTCATAACGAATGGCTTTTGGATTCAGGCGCCTCATATCACATGACCGGGAACAAAAGGAGTCTAAGAGGTATAACCAAGATACCACCGATGGCAGTTTCGTTGCGTAATGGTGATATCACGCAGGCCACTCACATGGGAATTGTCTTGCTCAGTGCACAACTGAAATTAATTAATGTTTTGCTAGTATCGCACCCGAACTAAAATGCAATTTGATCTCCTTGGGAAAATTAATTGATGACCGAAAATGTGATATATTTTTTTAGTAATGATTTGTGAGTGATACAGGACCTACCTACGAAGACTCCGATTGGAGTGGGTGACCGACGAGGGGGGGGGGGGGGGGGGGGTTATTTTTTCCGGAGTCTCGATCAGGCACATGCATATGCGGTGGAAAGATCCGACTCAGGTGATTTTTGGCATTCTCGATTGGGGCATCCGTCAGTGAAAGTTTTACAGATGCTTGGTTATTTGAATAAAAGTTTGTTAAATTCAGTCCAGAATAATGCGTATGATGCTTGTTTGCGAGGCAAACAAACACGTGATGTTTTTATTATTAATAATGCTCGTGCATGCTATTGAACCCTTTGAATTAATTCACTGTGATATTTGGGGTCCATATCGAATATTATCTACATGTGGTGCACATTATTTTTTGACTGTGGTTGATGATTTTTCTAGAGTCGTATGGGTTCATCTGATGCGTGATAAAAGTGAGGTAAAAAATATTCTGAAACAATTTAATGCCATGACTAGTCATCAATTTAACAAAAATTTGAAAGTGGTGCGAAGTGACAATGGCAAGGAGTTTACTAGTCTTCAAGAACATTTTTTGACACAAGAGATAATTTTTCAAACATCATGTGTTTACACGCCTCAACAAAACGGACGAGTCGAGAGAAAACATAGACATATTTTGGATGTTGCTAGGACTCTAAGGTTTCATGCCAACTTACCAATAAAATTTTGGGGTGAATGTGTTTTGACAACTGGATATTTAATCAACCGATTGCCTTCACCAGTCATAGACAACAAAAGTCCCTATGAATTACTCTATAATAAACCGCCTCTCTATAGACAACTTAGGGTCTTTGGTTGTCTATGCTATGCACATGAGGCAAATGCTTCGCATGACAAGTTTGGAGCACGAGGCGTGAAATGCATGTTTTTGGGTTACTCATATTCTCAAAAGGGTTGGAAAGTTTTTGATCTTCAACATGGACGTCACTTTGTGTTCCGAGACGTTAAGTTTATTGAGTAGCATTTTCCTTTCAAAGAAGGAGCTACGGGTTTAGATAATCATGTTTCACCAAATATTGGTATGCATTCTTTAGAATGGGACGTTCGAAGACATGCCACCGAAGATGGAAATGCATTGGGTAACATAGGCCATAATCACGAAGTGCATGCAGTAGATAATGACGGGCAGGATGGCAGCAACACGGGTGGCACTGAGCAGTCCATTAATCAACCTTCAGTCAACGCATCCGGGAATAACATTCGAGTTCACGACAATGCTCCTCGACGTGGGGCACACTCACAACAAGCTCCGACATGGCATAAGGATTATGATGTGCATTTGAACACGGTTACGATAAACTCTCACCCCGGTAGTATCCCTACTTCAATGGTCGACTCAGGTACTCCTTATCCCATAACTCATTATGTAAATTATAATCATTTTTCGGTCCCGCACCGAGCCTTTCTTGCAGCTATCTCTACGACTAAGGAGCCCGCTAGCTTCGGAGAGGAAGTCCGTGACCCTCGATGGTGGGATGCCATGACTCGAGAGATTCAAGCATTGGAGCGAATAGGGACGTGGAAAATCCAAGACTTGCCACCCGGCAAGAAAGCCATTTATTGTAAATGGGTTTACAAGATCAAGTGCAAAAAGTGATGGCTCGGTGGAACGATATAAGGTCTGTTTGGTGGTTTGTGGGAATAGACAAGTCCAAGGCATTGATTACAGTGAGACCTTCGCTCCGGTTGCAAAAATGGTAACGGTTCGTACCATTTTAGCTGTTGCTGCGTCTCGTCATTGGGAGTTGCACCAAATGGACGTGGATAATGCTTTCTTGCATGGAGATCTCCATGGAGACGTGTACATGCACCTGCCGCCGGGTTATTCTACATCCTCTCCAGGGAAGGTATGTAAATTGCTCCGTTTACTTTATGGCCTTCGCCAGGCTCCGCGGTGTAGGTTTTCTAAGCTCACTACTTCCTTACGGGCATACTGATTTTGTCAATCGCATGCGGACTGTTCCTTATTTACCATGCGTAAGGATAATCGAATATTGTGCATACTTATTTATGTTGATGATTTATAGGTGACTGGTAATGACCGGGACATGATTATTCAATTTAAGAAATTTCTTGCCGCCACCTTTCCAGTCAAAGACTTGGGCGTGATGAAATATTTTCTGGGAATTGAGGTGGCCCGCAATCCTATAGGGATTTTTTTGTATCAACGGAAATATGTGCTTGATATTTTGGCAGAAACCGGCTTAACAGGATCCAAGCCGTCTGTAGCGGTCGGGATCATGGTAAGTGGGGCCTGAATCAGACTGAAGTCGATGGTTTTGTACCATGGGAAACCTTACTTGACCATGGCCAGACCGGATATCTGTTATTCTGTTCACATACTGTCTCAGTTCATGCAAAGTCCCAAGGTGGCCCATTGGGAGGTCGTACTTCGTGTATTACGATATCTCAAAGGTTGTCCCGGACATGACATTTTGTTACGATCTGATTCGTCACTCTCTCTTGTTGGGTACTGTGATGCCGATTGGGCAAGTTGCCCAATCACACGTCGGTCAGTCACATGCTGTCAATCAACATATTTGAAGGGGAATGGACCCTTTATCTTTCACTCAAAAGGATTTTATGCTATCAATCAGAAACCTAATTTGATAAAGATTCCCTTCTAGCCAGAACTCGAACAACCCTAACGTGCAATATAATAAAGTATAAAAAAGCGAAACAATAAATTTAACAGAAATCACAATGAGAAATTCAAAAATGAAAAAAGGACAGAACAAAAATACCTTTGGTAGAACTCTCACGAAGACATCTGAACTTTGATGGTTTCTAACTGGTAGAGAGGGAGATGCGAGATTCTCGAACGGAGATTGTTTCCACTTGAGATGAAGGATAAGATATGAAGATAGCAATCTTGTTCTTGATGAAGGACCTGTGATGACCTTTAGAAGGTGCTATGGTTGAAATCTGGATGATGATGATATGCATGATGCTATCGGCAGTTGCTAGAGAGGCCGCAACTAAATTGATGAAGGTGCACTCTGAATGAACGAATTGAAAGAAAATTGGAAAATTTGAAAATGAAGATTGTAAGGATACAATATACCTGATTGAGATGAATAAATTGAGATGGAGTGAAACTCTTCGACGGTAATGGAATTGATGAACGAAACTCTGGATGAAGGATTATGAGGGGTGGAGAGGCGAGTAGGCGATGAGCTGATGACACATACATGTTAGAAAAGACGGGGAAGACATGATTTGTTGAGCCTGGGCGAATGATTACCAGCGAATGGAGAGAAATGAAGGAAATTAAAAGATGAGAATGAGAATGGGGAAAAAGGTGAAGAGACGGCAGAGATGACTTTGATCGAATGGTTAAGATGTTGCTCGGTTAAGCGGGAATACTGTGTTCAATGCACAGTAAAAATATGAAGGAACGGGAAGAATTGATCTAGCTCTGTGCTCAGTACCTTCTCCATCTTGCAAATTTCTCCTGATTAGTTGAGGTTCTTCATATTTTAGGAGAAGAATTCACCCATGGTGATATGAGTGGAGGGATTTAGGCGTGTTAAGCCATTTTAGGTATAGAAGGAGCAGGAAGGATGTTAGAACATGAGATTTCAACGTGATTTCAAAACAGTGGCTTAAAATCTACGGCCGTAAATGTGAGTTCGGGTGAGCGGGATTTCCCCCCCAAAAGTTGTAGTGCTATTAAGGAGATGATTAAGGAGAGGATTTTAGGTATAGAAGGAACGGGAAGGATGTTAGAAGCCGTAGATTAGGTGCTTAAAATCTACGGCCGTAAATGTGAGTTCGGGTGAGCAGGAATCTTTTTCCAAAAGTTGTAGTGCTATTAAGGAGAGGATTAAAGGAGAAAGGGAAAGGAAGAACAACCAGAGAAAGAACACCAAGAGAAAAGGGAAAAGGCAGCACAAGAAGTAA